ATTTAGCCAATAGAGTGGATTAGATGCCTCCTATCCCTCCACCCCCTCCAAGGGTGGGAGGTGAGCTCTGATAATCACCCCTGAGCTCTGATCTGCCCAGACCAAGGGCACCAACTGTGAGTGGGGTACGGAGAAAGGTTTGGCATGTGAATGGGACACTTCCATTGCTGGACCTGTGGGCCTGAGAGGCAAAGGACATTGCTCCATCCATTTGAGCTGGGATGTTTACTCGTGGGTTGGTCCTGAACTCTGTGGTGTTTTCCCAAGTTAATGCCATGTCACTTCTCTCCCTCTTTATTAAAAGTTTCTTTTCTACACTCAGACTCCGTGCATGCGAGTGGGGAAGCATTGCCTCTCGGAGGCACCCAGGGATGTGTGTGGATTTCCCAGGCTATTGGGTGGTGGCTGGAGCCCATTCTGTGTGAGATGGATGAACTGGAACCCCTAGATATTGAACCTAGCCCTGGCTGCTGCCAGCGCTACCTGGCAGAAGGGTTACATTCAAATATCCCATTTTCAGCCACAAATACATTTCTTTAGGTAGACAATTGTGCTACTTACTGGACTGACCCTTTTACGTTTTTGAAGACGTATTAGATCCAGCTACAGTCTGTGCTTTCCTCCTAAGTGTGAATTAAAAATTAAACACTCCGGAAGCCCAATTAAGTAGCCCACTCTGGGAGCAACCCGGCTGGGCCAGGAAGGGTTGGTCTCTCTCTCCCTGTCTCTCAGCCTCTGGCACTGGGCTGGCAGCAGAGTCCCGACTGACATGTTAAGAGCTACAACACTGACACGCAGGAAGGCAGAAGAGTTCCTGGCACATGGGGTTAGTGGGGTGACTCTGGTATCCCCAACTCCCTAGTTCCTCCCCCACCCTGGCAGCCACTCAGCTGGCTGTGGAAGCAGGAGTATCTCTCACCGCTATGGGCACTGGGAGAGGAGCAACGCCTCCACACTTGATGTGGCAGCTGGGACCCCGGCCACATGGGGAAGCCAAAGAGTGCCTGGTGCACAGGGCCAGCAGGACTCCCACACCCTCATTCCTGTGCCGATGGGGAGATCTCTCTTCCTCATGGTGACGGCCATCAGGGTGGGAAGGCGGCCTAGGTCACTTCCCCTCTCCTCCATCCCCGATTTCTCATCTGAACCCAGAGACTCTCCACAAACTTTTCTCCACTTTCATACAGAGGGTCTGAAGATTTATGCTGCCTTCTCACATGCCATTAGCCATTGGGAGAACTTGTCCCACACGTCTATACCTGTTAGAGAAGAAACAGGCGACCTAGGAGTGAATAGGGTAAATGGAACCTCTTTATTGTCTACGCACGTTTACCTCAGAGATTAACATGATGTTGGAGTGGCAACAACTTAGTGTTAATCATACCCTTTTATCTCTTTTAATATGTTAATTCACATGTCTATCACTACTTTTCCTAAAGCCTTTAATAATGTTAACTCCCATAAAATGAATATTAATAAGCAAATAATTAATACAATTTTACCTACCCCTAATTACTATTTACAGAACTTCCAATCAAATCAACACATTCCCATGCTACAGACTAACAAGTTACAGAGATTACAAAGAATCCGACCCTGAAGATGTTATGCAGAGCCAATGAGGATAATCATGAGACACAACAAAGTAGAGACGCTCCATACTTATCTGGATTCCTAGGCTACAGAACAGAGAGAGAGAACAAGGTTATAAATACCAAAACGTAATACTGGTCTCAGCTGTACCCTGTCATCCCAAACAACAAAAACAAACAAAAAAAAGCATGTTTAAGGGAAATGCTGTGGCATTAATGCAAAAGGTCACTAATGCAAAAGGCCATTTCAAACCTATTAATTTTTACTCCCCCTGTCGACAATACCTAACCCTGAAAGTGCTCCAGTCATGTGTGTTACCCTACCAAGTCTCTGTGACTCCAATCAAACCTTCCTTGTGCCAGGACTTCCATTTCTTCCTGGTTGTTTCCTCGGCTTCTTGCCTTCACAGGACAATTACCTGATTGCTCTGCTTTCTGAGTGGAAATCAGGGGGCCCTTTCTTGTGCCCTCCTTCTTCTGGTTCCTCATAGTGCTCCACTTCCCCACTTACCTCAGGGCTTCGGTCACCATCCCCTGGAGGGCATCACTTAAGGCCCTCCTCGCTAGGTTGGAAAGCCCGCCTGTGGTGATCTTCCTCTCTTCCTAGCAATCCTTGCCCCTGGAACAACGTCCCATGGTCAAAAAATTTAAAGCCCTCTCTGCGACACCACCTGCACCACCATACCCAGTACTCACACCACTTCTTTTAGAACAACCAAGGTGTTCGCCGTCCTCACCACCTAGGGCCTCCTTCTGCCACCTCCCAAGGACTTTGTCTCTGCCTGCTATGCCTCGTCTGGGATGCCACTTTTATCATCTGTTATATTGACATTGTTATGTCTGATGTCCAGGGCTCGCCAGATGCGCAGACTGCGCTGCACCGGCTATGCCGGGTTGTAATCTACTTGCCATGGGAAAGTAGATTATATGATTTGTCGAGCCGTGCTGATGTCTATTCAGTAGGTACTGTTTCCTTTTCTCCTTGTTTGTATTTCCTAATCTTACTATGGCGAAGTGTCTTTTTCTAATAGGTAAGTGTATCAATGATCTCAATTTATCATAAATGTCAATTTGTTACCGTGGACCTTTTGTGGTTGTCTATCACATTTCATAATGAGGAGAATGGAGCAAATAATGAAGGAATCCATCTGCAAACATTTGGAAGATAATAAGGGGATAGGTAACAGCCAGCATGGATTTGTTAAGAGCAAATCATGTCAAGCCAATCTGATAGCTTTCTTTGATAGGATAACAAGCCTTGTAGATAAAGGAGAGGTGATGGATGTGGCATGCCTAGACGTTACTCATGCATTTGACACAGCATCACATGATCTTCTTATCAATAAACTAGGGAAATGCAACCTAGATGGAGATACGATACGTTGGGTGCATAACTGGATAAATATTGTCAGAGAGTAGTTATTAATGGTTCACAGTCATGCTGGAAGGACATAACAAGTGGGGTTTCACAGGGGTCTGTTTTTGGACCTAGAGAGGTGGTGGAATCTCCATCCCTAGAGGTTTTTAAGTCCCAGCAAGACAAAGCCCTGGCTTGGATGACTTAGTTGGGGTTCGTCCTGCTTTGGGCAGGGGGTTGGCCTCGATGGCTCCTGAAGTCTCTTCCAACCCCAACATTCTATAATTCTAACCATGTAAGTTAAAGAATTCTCCATACA